GTATTTTTCTTCCTATTACAAATGTTAAGTTTGAATGATATTAATTTATGAACGTTTTAGAAAGAAAGAAAAGGGGGTCAATATGTAAATTTTATAGATATGTGGTATAATTAGTAATTAACTACTCTCTCCGTTTTAAAATGTAAGTTATTTTGGTTAAAAGTGCGAATATTAAAAAACTATTTTTTTCTAAAAATAATTATCTTAAATATATAATAACAATAATTTAACCAATAAAAAAACGATTGCAAAATACTATTGGTCACACAATAGTCAATAAAGTTAAAAGTATCTAGGATTATCAAAACAACTTATATTTTGAAACATAAAAAAATCTTCAAAACAATTTATATTTTGAAACGGAGGGAATATAAAAAAAAAAATATACTTGGAATATTCTTTTTGTGTAGAAAATGGAGTAATACATTGGACCAAAATTCAATCTCATTTTAGAGTTACTCCATTTTAGAATAAAAAATGGAGTGATATATGGGAGATGCTCTAAGAACATCAAACGTGAGCAATCTATTTTCAGTATGTTTTTGTTTCACGTTTTGTTTAAACTTAAAACCTTGTTAAAAACTTATGTTTGTTCAAATTAGGGAAAATGGTAGTTTAATTCTCCAACTATTTGTAATTGACAAATTTATTCTCCAACTATCATGGTTACATATTAAATTCTCAAGTTAACATTGACTTTGTAAATTTAGGTCTGATAAAAGTTATCATAAGCAAATAAACACAGAGATGTTAACGATGACTTTTTAAGGCCAATTTTGCGAAGTCAACGCAAATTTGAGTAATTAAATTGGTAGGTAAAAATTGAAGAATTAATCTGCAAAATTGCAAAACTTGAAGAATAAAATGACACCATAAAAAAGTTGGGGAATTAATCTGTAAAGTTTAGCATTTCTTCTGCAGAATTTAATGGAATAGAATCTACCTGCCATTAAACTTTTTATATTTATAGATATCAACAATTTGTAATCCCAAAATCATTTTGCAAGCTAATCTACTGAAGCAAATCAGAAGAGTGCAAAATCAAATTTGGCTGATTAATAGGTCTTTAAATTAATTTGTACTTTTACATTTTAAATTATTGTGTTTATTAGAATAAAGAAAATATAGTATATAGGTTTACAGTTTGTAAATGATGTTTTGAAAACACAAAATTAAATTACTGTATTTTAAAAATATAACATAGTATATTAACAAATACAAATATTTATCTCTGAAAAATTGACCAATCCATAAGTTTTGATTGTTTGAAACGCGAATATCAGCACTTGTGTTTACAAGTAAAACATGACTATATTTTGTTTCAAATTTAGAAAGAAAAAAAACATGTTTATTTTGTTGTCAACGAAAGTTTCATGGGTTACTATAAAATGTTTTTTGGCTGCAAAAGTAATATCATGCTTATGTTTATAACTAAAA